GAGAGAGGGTGGGTGCGTTTGCTGCATGGGGGGGGGGGTGCTTTATGGGTAGAGTAGTTTATTTTTCTTGTAATACTTCATTATAGCTTTTTAAGACAAAGCTAATTGAAAGGGGCGCTGAGCAGAGTTACAACCAGGGATTACAAATATTTTTTTTTTCTTCTGCAGTTCGGCGCCCCCTCCAGCAGATGGCACTTTAGGCGACCGCCTAGTTTGCCTATGCCAAGAGCCGGCTCTGGCAATCGCCCCTGGTTTTGAAATGATAAATAAAGAAAAATAAACAATAAATGAAAAACATTTATTATGGATTTCAATTGTGTCAATAAGGTAGAAAAGTAACTGGGAATTTACAGGAGCATTTGAAACATATCTAACATATTTAACCTCTTAAGCCCCAAGGGGTTTTCTTGAAGTTTACATTACCTGTGTAAGGATTCATGCTGCTAAAATTAACTGTAGCAAAGTTACAGAGGTTTTAGTAAAGAAATAATTATGCATTTTGTCATTCTGCACAGGACAGACCATGATGGTACCATTAATAAATGTTAAGAAATCTTAAGAATTTACATCCAAAAGTTACTTATTTTTTCTTACCTGCCTTAAAATGGTCAATGGACTGTACTTATACAGCACCTTTCTATCCATCCAGGACACTCAAAGCTCTTCACACTACAATCTGTGTCCTCATTTACCCATTCAAACAGCACTCTATTAAATCTCTACAAAGCTAACATGTACAATCATCTATGCTGACTAATCAGTGCCAATCACATTCATACACTGATGGGACACATCAGAGGCATTAGGGCTGAATTGTCTTGCCCAAGGACACAATGACTGAGACAGCTGGACAGGGGATTTAACTGGTGACCTTCCAGTTCCAGGACAACTCCCCTAACCACTCTGCCACAGCCGCCCCGACTTGTTATTGAATGTTTGTTCTTTTGAAAAATTATCCAAACATTTATTTGTCACCATATTTATTATATAAAATAATGAGAAATTATATTTGATTTCAGTTGGATCATATTCACTCAAAATCAAGTGAAAAAAACTTTCAACACACTTTACAACATATTAATGTATCTGCTTTGACTTGCTTTAAAAAATGTCTAAATCTTTTCCTTTACATATTTGCTTGAATGTATTTACAGATTTGCAATGACACCATTTTGTACAGTTTGTTTACTTTCTGATTCAACTGCTTGACAATTGAAGTGTTTGATGAATGTAAAAACAGTTTCCATGAGCTTTTGTTCAAGTGGCAAATCTTAAGTTAAAAGAAGTTAAAAGAAATAGAAAATGGAAAAAGCTGTTTTGCTCAAGAAGTTTTTAAAATGTTTTCTGATTATTTTTTAGGATTTGTCAAGTTTATTAACAGCACCAAATAAACTCAAACAAAAATAAATGTGAGGCTGAGACTTTTTGAGGGTTGAATCTCACTACTGCAAACTAAGCAGACAGATACATACTATTGATTTGTGGTGAAAAACATGTTGGGTGACACTTTCAACTATTGCAGCACTGAAAAAAGCAGCCATTGAGTTGTCGTGGCACCAGGTATTTGAAGACCCATGTAGGACATGCCATCACTCTTACTCTTGGAAAAAGTAGTGTCAGCATGTTTGAATGGTAGAGATTTTACCTTATTAAATTTATTTTCTCATCGAGAATCAAAAACCTCAGTGAAGCACCCACCACTTTTCTTAATTCAGTCTACAGAGAGCCAAAGATAAATCATCATCACCTTCTAACCATGTCTTTATGATTATGTGGTGTTATAGGCAAAGATGAAGGATAAAGCTAACCTCCTCAGGACGGTTCACAATTCAACCTGATTTCTCCTGTTCTGACTCATCTCTCTGTGGGAGACAGTGAGAAAAAATAGAAACAATGAGTCATTTTACCAGCTGGCTTTCACATCACATAAATAATGGATGTGTGTACATGCTCACTTAGGAAGAGTGAACCTTACAGATTGATTGGTGAATTGATCACATACATTTTTTTCTGACAAAGATCAGCGACTCTCTGGTTGAAGAAAGGAAATTATACAAAATCTAATAAAAGAAAAACAAAAAATAACATAATTGAAAAATATTTATTTACAATCATTGGGCCTCATGCAAGAACATGTTCGTATTCTTCTCCTAAATTTCTCTTACTTTTGTTCGTACAAAGGGTTCGTACGAACATGTCACGTCAGATTCAACAAACTCTTCTATCTTCTGGAAACGTGCGTAAATGAGCTGCGTAAATTCACCTGTTCGTATCCAGCTGCTCGTGAACGCGAGAGGAGATTAGCATAATTACAACCCCAAAAACACCATATAAGGCTATGATTCCTGCCTCAGATACAAGGAAGTGTCCATTCATTCATGAAAATGACAGCGAAAACGTAAAAGAACTTTACGAGTTCAGAGATTGAAGTCTGTCTGTCAGAGATCCAAAAAAGAAAATCTGTCATTTTTAGCAGGTCAGCTGTGGGATAAAAAGAGCTGCTAAAAGTATAAACAACTGTGTTAAATCATTTTCATTTATTCAGAAGCCGCAGCGTTGCGCACCGTGCCCCCCCGCGCGCTGCGGTGGTCTCAGATGCGGGTTTGAAATAAGCATTTTAAAATGTTTTCAAAATAAGTCTGGCACTTTGGAGAAAACCCAGGACTCACTGGAGGGATTATGTATCCCCTCTGGTCTGGGAACGTCTCGGAGTCCCCCAGGACGAGCTGGAAAGTGTCTCTAGGGAGAGCGCGGGGTCTTTCTCCTTCTGCCCCCCTGCCGCACCTGATAGCGGATAAGCCGGCCGGACGGACAATTTATATTGTAAGTCTAAATTATTACATTTAAAATTATAACTCTAATTCAAGCAGAATAACTTATTGTCAACATAATTATGGAGTGTAATTTATTTTCAACTCAAAATATCTTCAAACTAACGAAATATAAAGTTATTAGTGAAGAAAACCCGTCCGGATAACAGCAGACTGACTGTACGTAAAATATACGACAGGTCTGGACCACTCGTAAATTTTGTTCGTATCTGAAAAAAATCGTAGAATACGAAAACATTGGTGAATGCCACAAATTCTCCTAAATCACTCGTACGCACAACTTAAGAACAAATCTGTGCGTACGAACGGTTCTTGCATGAGGCCCATTAACTTAAAATACAGTTTATGACTCAATGGGCCTCATACAAGAACCATTCGTACAAACAGATTTGTTCTTAAGTTGTGCGTACGAGTGATTTAGGAGAA